CACAAGTAGGATGTCAGAATAATGTGCGTATCAATAGTTGTGGCACCTCATTACAGTTCTAGGCAAGCCTTTTGTTCCAGGCAGCTGATAGATGGTGAGAGGATGACCTGCTGTCTTTAGTTACATTTACTTCCAAAATACTTGGTTGTCTGCTATGGTTTGCAATGTTTCTTGGAGTGGAAGAGCAGTAACAGAGGGAAAAGAGACACTTTCGTGCTTTATATGCCTGCGCAAATACCAGCACAGCGACTTTTTAGCTCCCGTAAGTCTTCATTCTGTGCCAGCCTTCTTCCTCTTTTCATCCTTCTCCCTCACTCTCTGCCCCCAATTCCGAGCTGGAAAAGATCTATTTTTATAGGTAGAACTTAAAGAGAAAAAGTGAAGTTGCAACATGTCTGAAAGTTCAGGAAAAGAAAGCACTAAGTTGCCAGCTCTTTTTTTCCCCTTGGGCTTCGTACCCAACCTCAGCGTTGTCTCTCAGCACAGAGCCATCCTTAAGCAGTGTACGCTAAGCCTGTAGGATGTCACTGTGGCATACCTGCCATGGCATCGGGATTCCTCATTTTTATTCTGCTTAAACAAAAAATCTCATGCTGCTATTTTGCCATTATAGAAGGATTAACCACAGTAGTTATCTTCCTTACTTGTTTCTAAACAAATACTGTGTGTTTTTCAGCCTCGAGCTGTCAAACCTTGGGCAGAATATTAACTTGTAACCACATGTAGTCAAGTCTTGCTTTTTTGAGCCTACCCCTGTTTTGGAGTAGAAGCTATACTGCTGGTGCTGATGACAAATCAAGGGGCAGAGGCACCAGAACGGATGCACATCTGTCACTAAAGGACACAAGTTCCCTTCAAAATGTTTGCATCCCAAGTCTCTGGACAGTAAAATTAGTTAGTGCTATTTCCTGTCCCTGGGGAGTCGTTACAGAGGGGTACCCAGGGAAAACACTTGTTTTACAGACCTCTAAGTGGTGATATTTTTCAAGATGCAATCCACTCAACAAGCCTTCCCGCCAGATCAGGAGGTCCTTGGTAGGCTGCCATACAGAGATGTGTGTTGGTAGTGCGGTTTCTCATACCATAATTACGTAAAGGAGCACATAGTTTTTCTTTTAATAGAAAACTGTATGTGCTGATTGTTATGTTAGCTTACTGATAAACTTACCACCAGTGCACGTTATCTATGCCTCGCTCTGGGGAGCGTCGATACATCACCTTTCTACTCGAAGAAATTTCCAGTGCTGCGTGATTGGCACTGCTGGGAATCAAAGGGAGAAGGCAACAGGCGGCAGATGATCCTTCAGAGCTGCCCTGACGAGCTGGCGTGGGGCTTGGGAGATGGCCATCTGGTTAAGTGGTGGAATGATGTGAGATAGAGGTGAGGAAATGTTGCTGCTGGAGGGAAATCACAACCAACAGCTTGGTCACAGTGTAAAGAGTAGCATTTGTAACTGGTCAGTAGCAAGGCAGTGAATGGGAGGGCAGAGAAAAGGGCAGATGAAAGGAACATGTTGTCCCCAAATAATTGCTTGCAAGCTAAAGAATTAGAAAATACAGAAAATATTTGCTTTTTGTTTTACAGTCTTCCACCAAATAGGATAAACAGATTTAGCATCTAGGGTTGAAAGAGGCTGTGGGATGTGACAAAGCAGGAGTTCTTCCTCACTGCTTGCTTAATACTTTTTCTGTTTCTGCTTTAAAGTCATTGTTTTCACCAACAACATGCATATATGCTTGCATGGGCTATAGCTTGCTGTAGGACTATGGATTCTTCTAACATGAGCTATGGATTCTTCTGTCCATCAGATGTATCTCGTTCCAGCCTTCTCTAGCCAGGGTGTCAAAACAGCCATAGTGGAATTGTCTCTGCTTTCAGTGCGTGCATGCCCAGGTATCAATGCAGTTGTGAAGACTGCACTCCAAACAAAGCCTTCACTTTCTTCAGAAGAGTCTTAAGAAGAGGAAGTCTAAGAAACTTTGGGAGAAGGTCTAAAATTCCTCCTTTCTTTCCACTCCCTGATGATTGAAAATGGCCTTCAGGTTTGGCAGAGGAGCTTCTCAAGGGAGAACTGAATTTTCCAAGTAGTGACTTAGGAAGACAGGCAGATGATATTTTTCAATAGTGCCCTTTTTGGAAGTTCCCCCCAGCCTAAGAAACAAGAAACCATGCCATGTATAAGAGGGAACTCTGCACCTTTGCTGTGGCAAGTTAGTAAATGTAGCTCCAATCCACTAGCCCTGCTAGACTTCACCTTTCTTGTATCCCTCCTTGACCTCTGTTCTAAATATTTGTTTCATCACTCCCTGTGCTTATACTTTTGTTGCTCTTAGCCCCCAAAACACAACCCAATAGTCAAGGCCAGGAAAAAGGATAAAGTGGGGACTGGAGTACTTTACCTGGAGAGCTGTGTGTTGCCCTTAGAGGACAGCATTGTCCTGGCTCACCAGAGGAGAAACCCCATCTGCCTCTGCAAATTCAGGATGACAGTCCAGGGGATGAGCTTTTCCCACAGCCATCGGGAATGGGAGAAAACGTGGTGCCTCAGGATGCAGCTGGAGATAGTTAGGGGCAGGGAGAGAGGAACATTGGAGAGTTGTGTTTGAGGACCGCTGATAAATTGAGATGTAACTGGTGTGCTTACTTCCCTGCTTGATACAGTTTTCATTACGATGAAGCAGCAGGCCACTAACTCAGGGTTAACAGGGGCTTTTTGTGGCAAGACAGAAAGTGAGAGTGTGTGGGTCTATTACAGGCTTTAATGGGGTAATTTGAAGGCAGGCAGGTTAAGACTTTGATCTACTTCTTTTCATTTTTTAATCCATTTGCGAAGTCCATGTAAACAGAGCTGTGAAAATGGCGCGTGGTTTGGTTCTGCTATGAGTCACCTCAGCTGTGCCTCTGTCTCCGAAATGTTGGCACTGTCTGAAGGAGAGGTGTCTTCAGGAAAAAATACCATCCAGTCCCACTTCTGCAAATAATGCTCATCATCATCTGCCGTCCAGTTTTCTCTCTTGTCACTTTGTTTCATAGTCCAATATTTTACATACATTTTTAATTTAAATGTTAAACACTACTCTGGTACTTAATCGGGAGTTTCTGTACTCGTTTACGTTTAATTAATAGCTCCATTCACTGTCAGCAAGACATGTGGCGATGTTAAACCCATGCTCAGTGTAACTGGTGGCTGCATGAGAGCGAGCTGGCTTGCCGGGCTGTGGCGTGCGGGACCCGAGCCTTGCCTTTGAGTGACGTTGTGCTTTGGGAAGTCACCCGTTTCCAGCCCCTCTGGTGATAAAGCTTTAAGGAGAAGTAGAGAAAAGGGCATGCACTTGTTTGAGTTGCATGCAAGCCACTAGCCAGGTTTTACTGGGGGCTACCAGGCTTGTCTGGGTATCTTCTGCTGACCTTGTTACGGCCATCAGGACATACTTACCAAATGGACTCATTGCCAGGCAGTCACATTAACGAACAGCTAGCATTAATTTGCCGTTTGAAAATGAAGAAATCAATATGTTGATCCAGTTGGAAATCCCTTTATTCACAAAACAGTCTACCCCAAACCTCTCCACATAATTAAGGCTAAAGCTAAATTTTGTTTGGGTGAAACGTACAATCTGTCTGCTTCCTAAGCTGTGCTGAATGAAGTTCTCCCCTAATGGCACAGGGAGCAGCTGTCATGCTGTTGCTCTAATAACCATGAGACAAAATGATTAAATTTCCATCAATCATTTAGCATTATCAGAATAGGTCATTTTAATAAAATGTTATCATAGGATCAGTGCCTGGCACCTTAGAAAGGAGAGGGGCAGTGATAGAGAGTAATCTCGTGACAGCTTTTGAGTGATCCCCCTTGCAGATTAATCCATCAGTCCCTCTAAATCCACCATTTTTCATGAAGGTGCCCGATACCAGGATCTTTTGAGAGTAAAGACATTCCTGTAATCAACTCAAATGGCTTTTTAGTTTCAGCAAGAGTCCCCTTGTTCTTGCGCTATATAAGAAAATCACCAATCATTCATCTCGGGGAAAATCCTCAACGGGTTGTAAGTGGCATGGGGGACTAAGCCCTGGTTTCAGAACCCATTTCAGAGACAGAAGTTACATGTCCAGCAATGTGGATGGCTACCAAGTGGGCCTTTTGAAGACGTGAAAGGATTTCATGGGAATGTTTAAATGTACATACTTTCCAAAACCATACTTGATGCCTACCTTTGTCTTTAAGCCACTGAGTATTAAAAACCTGGCCCCTTGGCCCCCTTGGTTGAAATGTTCAGCTGTTTTCAGTGTTTTACCCACTTACCATGTCCCTTCAGAGTCATCTCCATGCATCCAAGGTGTCTTCCCGGTATCTTTCACTGCAGCGCAGTTTAATGACTACAGAATAAGCTGGACTCTAACCCTGTTTTTAAAGCCACGTAGACCTTGTCTGTTGAGGCTGTGTCATATGAGCAGGAAAATGGAGAACTCCAAAGTCCGCATGCAAATTTGTGGGTCCTTGTTGCTTCTCTTGAGCAGCCTCCTTTGGATGTCCTTCAAGGGTGGTGGCCGATGTCAAATGCTGATGGAAGATTTGTCCAGTCTTTTGGTGATGCTGAGAAAGGGTGATTATGAAAAATGAAGAAAAGCTGGAGGCTCCTTCTGTGCTTCACCTGGAAAGATGCTTAAGAAACAGATGATGCACTGGGTTTCTGTAAATCAGACTTGGCCATTGTTTTTCTTTGGAGAAAGGGTTTTTTCTTTCCTGCTTGGGAGCAGCTAAGCCGGCAAAGAAGCACACTCAAACCTTGGCAAAGGAGAAGCATTTTCAGGCAGGCTCACAGTGCAACTTATTCCTTGCTATAAGTTTGAAGCTTTTGGGTGCAAACAAATCAAAATTGCTTGTCAGTGTAAGCTGCTGTTGCGTTTGGAGGTTTGCTTGGTTGCCTTTTTTTGTTGTGTTTTTTTCCTACATGCAACAGTCTCACTGTCTCTTCTTCTTTTTCTTCTTCCTCTCCAGGCCCTCAAACTGACACGAGATGTAGAGAGAGAACCCTTTGCCAAATCTGCTGTCAGCAAGTGGACAGTGATACTGTTTACAGCTTACGACCTTTGTGAACCCTGCATTATTTTCCTAACAAAGCAGACTGTTAATAGGCCCCTTACAGGAGTGAAGATCCTCCTTTTTTTTTCTTTTTTTTTTTTTTTTTTCTTTTTCCTCTTTTTTTGGGGAATTGAACTCATTCTGAAGTATGCAAAATCTTCCTTTTCTGGGATGGCCAAGCACCTACTGTGGAGACAATGTTCAGCACCATCCTGTTGAGAACACACTGTGTAGCCTTTACAGTAGTTACTTGTCAATGAGTATGTGGTGTTTCAATATATTAATGGTTTACGGGATGTTTTAAGTTGGCTTTTCTTTTTGGAGGTTTTCCCTGTCTGCCCATGCTCCCTCCTACAACCTCCAGTTTGATTTCCTTAGATTTTTGACCATTTTTGCTTTCTCTCCCTGGGGAATCCGAAGTACTGCACACGTGCAAGGAAATGATCATAACCCAACACTGCTCAAACATCAGGGTTTTCTGAATATACAGCGTTTGTTACACCGATCAACTGGCTGAATTCCAGAGAGAGGTGATGTGTGTGGTCTGTTTGTTTGTTGGGTTGGCTTGTTTGTTTCTTACTCTTTCCTTAAAATTAATGATACACCCCTGTTTTCCATAAGCGTCAAACTGAGGTTGATTGCAAAACAAGGGAAGCCGGTGAGTTTGCCTCTTGGCTGGTGAGGACAAACTGACAGCGGGTGCTGTTGCCCGCATCTGCACCAAGGCAGGAGCCCGTTTGCTGCCCGCTGGAGCAGGCTCCCCTCCTGCCTTAGCGAGGCTGCCCGTCCTGCTGCAGCGAGCTGCTAAGAAGTTATAAATTGAGTTGCAGACAAGTTGAACGTAGCCACCTGTAAAGATGTGTTTGAAAAAACAAAAAATAAGGGAAATACACCACTTCGCAGAAAAGCTAAGCATAGAGGCTGGGCATCAGCAGGTGACTTGCAGTAGCAACGCCGGGAGTTGAGGCACAGTCATTGCAGGGTGTGTTACTGCATCAGTGATCTTTTTTTTCTTTGTTTGTTTCGGACATATCCTTGATTATTTTTTCCTTCTCATTACGTATAATCCGTTGTGACAGAAGAAACAGGACAGGGAATGGCGAGGTGACAGTATCGTACAAATGGCTTTTTGTATGAGTGTAGATTGTAACAGGGTAAGTGACCCTGAAAGACAAGGCAGTTTTATATATTTTGCTTCTAAGATTTTCTTTTGTAAAATGAATGATAATTAATAATAATAAAGAATAAAAGGTATGGTGCTGTATAGATCCTCTCTGTAATCTGGAAAGTTTGATTACTTTTTATTAGTATCTTGGGGGGGCAGGGATACAAGAAAAGAGGGGAAAACACCAATGGTACATAGGAACTCGGTATGAATTGGTTCTGAATAGGACAGTGTATACATAATTCTCCAAAACGATATGTTTTTTTTTTTTCCTTTGCATAAAAGCATTATGCATATAAATATATAAATATATTTTATTATGTACAGAAATGGATCATTATGCATGGATGTTAGGAAAACAAACTAGCATTTTAACCCAAAGTCTCAGTGCATGAGTTCCCACCGACCCGTGACCGATGCAATGTGGAGTGACTCCCTCTTGCCACTGCCACCGCATATGCACAGTCCTGCACACACACACTCACACACTCACACATACACGTGCGTACAGGCACACACACACACACACACACACACACAGAGACACACAAGCGCATTCCTGGGCCCTTCCTTGCTCCTTACTTTCCAGGTCCCTGAGGTGATATTGGTGAAACACTACTCCTAGTGTGATGCAAGTTTTGGGTTTTGTATCGTAGCCCCCATGCTGTTCTCTCATAAAGACGCACCTCTTGGTTTCTCCCCGCAGTTACGACTGTGTAGAGTCTGTGCAGTTGTGGTTATTGTAGCCCTGTAGCATATTAAGTCTGCCAAGCAGCCAAGGGTTTATCAATCGCCTTTTAAAAAAACTCTTTGTTTTTACACCGAGGTCATGTCTTTGTCAGCGTGAGGACTAGTTTATTACATTTATTGGAATTAACTGATGTTCATTGCCTATCTCTGTCAGCAGCCAGCTGCCCAGGACGCTCGTGTGGCACAGTGATCACCTGGGCTAGAGGTCACTTTGCTTATCAGAGTCCAGCTGCAGGCACCTTTTACCTGGTGGAGAGCTTTATAACCAGCCTCCTCTGAGCATGTAGCATTAGCTCTCAGCTTCCCAGTGCACCCCGAAATGCGAGCGTACACTGAAGAACTTCCCTCTGATGCTCCTCTCCCTGAGGCTCTTCCATGGCTGCTGCCCTCTAGCTGGGCTTGTAGCTGTCCCATGGTTTCGGCCACCAGCAGAGCTCACTTGATGGCTCCCCATGCCGGGGTGCAGCATTTGACCCCTGGAGAGGTGAGCCTCTGCTGAGACCTGGGCTGCCTGCCCAAAGACCACCAACCAGGTCGCTGACGACACCCATAAGACCTGAGTTCATGGTATGGCCAAGGTGACCAAAGTCCAACTTGGTTTTTTTTGGAACGGATGGAGTTCTTGTCGAAGGCGAAGGAAGGCCTCTTGACTTAAACAAAATGAGGGCAACTTCTCCTCTGCTACAGCAGCCTAACTCCCTTGGGTTCAACGGAGCTAGCTCCCCCTGGCAGAAATATGAGAGGAAACTGTGGTCTGCTCTGTTCAGAAAATGGAGAAAAACCATTTGATTTAGAGACAACCCATCAACGGCAGAGAAGTTGTTGGTTAGGTTTTTTTTTACAATAAAGCACTAATGGCTGAAAGGCTTAACCTGCCTCCCAGCAATGTCAAGGAAAGCATTTTCGTTGGCGTGGCTGGGGCACCTTGGACCCCTGTTTTGGAGAACATCCCAGCACTTGCTGAAGAGGGGTGGACTTCCTCTTCGATTTGATTTGGTTTCTGTTGCTCATTTTTGGGGCCAAGATTTTCAAACAGAAGTGCCTGGTGTCAGGCACCAAACGTTGGGGACTCCAGCATGGTCGCAGGGGGCGAGTCACTCTGCCCTCGTTGCTTCTCGAAGGAAGGAGAGGTGCCGGGTACCCCCCAACCCAGGGGAAGGTCACCACCCTCTGCGCCTGCTGAGGTGCCCAGCAAACGCCCGGCTCTCCAGAGGTGCTCAATAAATCTTGCCGAATTCTAAGGGCCACTTATTTATGTGTCAAAATACAGACTTGAATAGCTAATTTTGGGAACCTACCTTTTGAAAATTTGGCCTTTGAGTCTTTGAACATGTTTATGCCTGGAAGTTTTCCTTCTGAAACCGTGTAAAACAGATAAAAGTCCAGAATAATTATGCAGTTATCATTTAAAAACTTGGTCTAAAGAAAAGGTCTAAAAAGGTGACATTTATGCAGTTCCTAGTCACAAGTTTGGGGCTTCATTTAATAATTTTGTAAAAGAAAGTTCTATTGAGAATAATTGGATAGTTGACCACTGCTTACTTAACTCCAGAAATTTTTGTGTCACTACTTCAAAAAGTTACCTTTTAGGTCATGTATTTCTCTAAAATGATGTCATTGCTTGGCAATCTGTGTACTGTAAGTGTTTCTAGTACACAATACACCTTTGGAATTGCCAATAGATATGAAGGGGGACCAGATACATTTCGTTACTATGGGTTGGAAAAAATGGATTGTACATTTGGCTTCACATGTTTAACTTTTTTTTAAAAAAGTTGCATGATTGGAAAAAATATGTATACAGTATCTGTAAAACTGTTTTATCTGGTTTTGTTTCAAGCCATGTAAATTGGAATAATATTAAATCCACAGCCTTATCGTGCATGGCCGTCTTTACATACCGAAAGAGCTGAACAGTTTATACTTTTCATTTGGGCTATCTTGTACTTTCATTTGAAAGCAGACTTTCTCATGTTGCAGTCTTACTGAGGATTTTATATTAAAAAAAAAGAAAAAAGATGCTGCGCTGGAGGAATATACTACCTTACTACACAGAGGTTGGAAGGAAGTTTGTTTTGGAGCAAAACCTGCCCCTTTCCAAACGAAGTAGAGACGCAGTGCTTACTCCACTTGGTGTTAGTAGATATTGACTTGTGTATTCCATTTTAAATTGTAATCTAGTTTGTAAAAGAGATAGTGACGCATGTAAATAAAGCATAATTGATCTCTACATTGCACATTTGCCTTCACTCTGTTTTATTGTGTCATGGACAGACATTAAATGCAGGACCTGGAGAAGGGGTGACTTGCAAGCAGCGGGTGAAACCGGCTGGTGGGGGCTTCGGGGCTGGGAAGGGGTCCTGATCCTGCATCCACTGGAGTCTGTAAATGCATATTTACGTGGACCTCTGCACTTCAACCCTTCAGCCAAGGCAGTGTAGTTTTGGTGGTCACATAACCCCCAATGGGATCATTTACTGCTGCTAAAAAATCAGGGAGTTCACTTGATTTGTGGGGGAGGGAGGGGGTTCCCCAGGGATGGCAGCTGCACCCTGCAGCTGCAGCCCAGCTCGCCCATCCTGGGCAACAACCAGCCCAACTGCAATTTGATCGGGAGAAGAGTTACACTCCCGCCCCATGGGCTTGGCTGGGTTTCAAGCTGTCTTTGAAAAATGCCTGGAGTACTTGAAACTACTGGGTTGGGATTTGGGTAAGAAAACCAGCAGCCTGACTCAGCAGAAAGTTATATGGAGGGCTCTGGCCAAGGCACAGGAGAGCGTGCTCAGAAACATGAGACGTGTCGACAGAAAACTCTTCTCCCACCCTGAGGGGAAGCCACAGATGTTTATGGCTTTTTGGGAGCAAATGGTATTTTCAAGAAAGAGGAGCCTTTTTGAGCGTCAGGGAGGGGTTTCCCATCACTCTGGGGGAGCAACCACTGTGTCGTCCGTGCAAAGTCCACCGAAGCGTTGAACTGAAGTAGTGTAATGTAAAGAGTGGCTTGGGGATACCCCTTGTTAACATAGCAAGAGCTATTCAGGCTTTGTCCTAACTAGAGATAGCCTGAAATACTACAAGATCCAGTCAGAAAATAGCCTTTGACCAGGACAAAGTGTGTGTTGGCCTTCCCAGGGTGAGAGCATGCTTATTCCGCAGCAATTGCAGCTTCCCCTTGGAAATGGAGCTGTTTTGCTTGCTATTTCTGAAGGCTCCGGCAGGGAAGGACCCACGTCCTGCACCTCACTGGCATCACCCCGCTGGTATTTAGGACAAGTAGCCCAGTGAAATGCCAGGTGGAAGGGCCTCAACTTTGACTTGAATTTAGGCAGGGGCAGCAGCACCGATGATGAGCTGATTCAAATCCTGTGCGAGTTTTGTGCTGAACCTACTTGGTTGTGTTGTGCAATGCCTCAACTGTGACCTTCAGCTCACTCGGCCTTGGAATACATCGTTCTTATCAGAGTACTTTCAAAATAAGTCCAAACATTTTAAACTTCTCTGAGTTGTCCCAGAAGACAAGAGGCTTTTC